GAGAATGGTGAGGTGGCGGTAATGGTGGTGTTCGTCCATTGACGTAGTGACATTTCATGCGATTGCAGACGAAGCGACGGAGCAAAGACGGAAGTGCCTGTGTGAAGTGTGAACACTGGAAAATAATGATAATTTGAGATCATAACCAATGATCAATTAAACAACCAATTATCTACATTGATAATTTCATTTCAGTGCTAAATAACCAAATTGAGGTGATAATGATAAAAAATACATTCCCTCCCCCCAGACCTACCCCTAAGAATTTAAGTAGGCGTTTGGACATAAAAATTTTAATTTAAAAAAAAAATAGTATTTGGAGTTAGTTGATAAATAGTACTCCCTCCGGTCCAAAATAAGTAATTTTTTGGTCTTTTTCTTGTGGTCCAAAATAAGTGATTTTTTCAAATTTCAAAAATGAATTAATTATTTTTTTCCTACATTGTCCTTGAAGTAAATGGTGTTGGAATATGTGTTAGGAGTGTTTATGTGAGATAGTAAAGGTTAATATGATCAATTCCATTGCTAATTAATGCTAAATGATAGATTTCTTAATTTGTGTGAAAACATCCAAAAAATCACTTATTTTGGACCGGAGGGAGTATATTGTTATAAATGGAATTGTATTTATGATGAATGTCTATATTTAGAGAGATTCTAAGATTTATTACTTGGTGGCTAAGTCACCCTCTCCCTATAAATAGAGGGTTCTATTCCATTGTAACTCATCCCAAAATTCAATAAGAATTCCCTCTCTCTCTTTCTCTGCAATATTGTTCTTCTGCTTTTATTGTTTTATAACACGTTATCAGCACGAGACTCTAACCAATTGAGTAGAAGTTTTGGGATTGAGCATAATGATTGTCAATTATTCCATGAACTTCCTTCATGATTAAATTCTGGATTTAAGGTAAGTATTTTACTTTATTTTTCTCTTTTAAATTCTTGAAATTCTATAATTTGATTTTATATACAAGCAAAGACAACAAAGTTTGATTATAACTCTAATGGAGTTTGTAAGAAATTATAACCACCTGAAGGGGTAAAATTTCTATGCCTCGCCATGATCAAATTCATGTATGATTGTGGGCAAAGAATTGAAAACCCGTCCCATTGAATTTACTCCATTCTCATTCCCTTAAGAGAATGTAATAAGTCTGAAAGAAGACAAAATTATTACTATGAATGTATCAATGGACATGGACGTGGCAATAGACGAAATTATAATCGTCATCATTTGTGGTAATGAGAACAACAAGGATTCTCAAAATAATTTTTCACTCTGTGAAAAATATTTGTCATCGATTTGACATGAGATTTTGTAAAGCACATATAGATGATTATGGTCCATTCATGATGTGAATGTGACAACATCTGATTTATGAATATATATTCATTCTTCAAAGAATATGAACGTGCTAGTGGTAGTGAATATACCGCACTCACCTCTAGAAGGAGGTTTGAGAGGAAATAAGAAAATAATGTCATTATTATGGCATAAATGGTCATTGGTCACGTACTTATTGTACGCCAAAATATTTTGGCATTGTGATTATTAAAAGACAGCGATAATGCAAGAAACAGAACTTGCATGTAATTTTGACCATAACCATGATGGTATAACTTTCTCTTTAAAAGAGATATTCACCATATGGATGTTGATGAATATATGATAGTACAAAATTAATTGAGAACTCTGCAAGAGCCAATTATACTATTTTGGGGAAACACAATCGATTACCAATAAGGTATTGTGTTGTAGTAAGTCTCAAAGAAACTTATTAAGTTTCCAAAGTATAAGCGAAAGCGGTTGATTATATTGAGACTATAAATAAATGAAAGATTTAATATCTTCTATTACTGCAACTAGTAGCGGGATAATATGTATGTGAAAAACTGCCCGCTTTATTCTCCAGTTTGTACTACACAAATAAAAGAATACCATACTAAAGTGGATGTTTATTGATATAAAAACTCATATCATAATAAACTTGGAGTTTATTGATAATTGCACACGTCATGGTGTAAATCTGAAGTTTATCAATATTGATAATTTATTCAGTTGGCATAATTGGTTTAGCCATATCAATTTGAGTATAATGTGCAAAAATAATAGAGAATTCACATGGGTAAATATTAAAGAACTAGAAAGTTCTTTACGAATTCTCTGATATTGCTTGTTCTCATTAATTAATAGATCAACTAAAATTGGGATTGAATCCCATGAATGCTGGAAATATCAAAGGTGAATATGGGCTCATTCACCTGCCATGTATACCACATAAGATGCATCTATGAGATGGTTACATGTGCAATTATTATTGACCCGCAACCTGGTGTTTGCGAGGTAACTTGCTCAATAATTTAATATAGAGCATAATTTCCAATTTTTTTTAAATAAGATAGTTCTTCTTGATAAGTTGGTTTACATCACAATTGGTTTAGCAAAATGATTTATTGAGTACCTCCACTTAATAGCTAAACTATTGCTTATGAGAACAAAGTTATCTATATCAGTTTGATATAGGTTATATACGAAAGTATATTACATTCTCCCCTCAAAAGTGGTTCAGGGTCAGGAACCAAATAATTCCATCTTATTATTATTGATGTGCGGTGTATATTTTGATTAGCACCATAACGCACAAAGATGGGTTCTCAAAGTTGAGGAAACAAGTTAGTTTTTCTAACATGAGGGGGAGACAAGATATAATAGTTGAGAAAAAGTTACATGGAATGAAGTATCATTTATACATCTAGATCCTCGAATAAAATAATATGAATTTGAAGTTCATAAAAGGATAATTCATGTGCAATTTATTGCAAAGCATGCCAGACGCATTTGCTGACCCAAAGAAAGTAACTATATTCTCATTGCAAATGCTCCTATTAAGTCCCAGAAGGACAAAGTCTATGGTACGCTTGAAGCGTATAGACAAATCGGTTTCAAATAAACTTCTTGATAAAGAAGATGAGCAAATGATCTAAATGATCATAACAAAGGAGGTAAGTGATCTAGAAGATCACATGACATAACACTTCATAAAATCTCAAGAGAGATTCAGGAACCTGAAAATATGAATGAAGAGATCTCTATGTTATGTCTTTATGAAAAATAAGGAGGTTGGAACCAGGGGCGGATGCACCTTGGTGGAAGCGGTGTCATCTGACACCGCTTCGCCGGAAAAATTCACTAAACATGTGTAAATTATTAGTATGTACAAAAAATATTTTATTAAATGAACAAAATTTACGCAACTTTACACATAGTTCTCGCTAGCTCTGCTGGTCAAGTGCTTATCTTTTGTTTACTTTTTTAAATATGACACCACTTACGAAAAATCCTCCGTCCGCCCCTGGTTGGAACCGATATAAAATGTTTGTCGACGACATTGATTATAGCACTAAATATATATGAGGATCTTAATTCGGAGAAACAATTCGAATAGAATTGGTTTCATATGAAAGACATGTAGTTCAAATACTTGAAAGTATAAAGTCAATGGTATGCGCAATCAGTTTTCGATATCTTATATGTCTAGCATGACATGAAAACTTGATATGCATCTAACTAAAGTCTATTATATGACTTAACTTATATGCCAATCCTTGAAAGATTTAAATCGCTTAAAGCATATACAATTCTTGGTCCTGAAGTGCCATATCCTAAATACAATTTGTGCACGTACGTATCTTGCTATAACTATAAGCATGCTAACGTGATAGCGAGAATACCTCTATGGAAATATTGAAAAGTCATTCCACGACATTATATGAAGACATTATATCTCTATCAAGAATGATGATTTCAAGGTGCAATATATTCATTCAAGTTAATATGGCTGATTTGTTCATCAAATCTCTACCAAAGATCTTTTGAAGATGGTGCACAAGATTGGAATGCAAATGCTTAATGATGTGAATTGATGCTCTCATCAGGGGGAGTTAATACGCGTTGTACTCTTTTTCCCTTACAAGGTTTTGTCCCACTGGATTTTCCTTGCAAGGTTTTTAACGAGGCAACCAAAAGGCGTATTGTTAGATATGTGTACTTTTTTTCCTTCTCTAGAATTTTTTTCCCACTGGGTTTTATTTTAGTTAAGGTTTTAACGAGGCACATTATCTGTTGAATAGACATTCAAGGGGGGAGTATTATAAATAGAATTGTATTTATGGTGAATGTCTATATTTAGAGAAATTCTAGGGTTTATTACTTGGTGGCTAAGTCACCCTCTCCCTATAAATAGAGGGTTCTATTCCATTGTAACTCATCCCAAAATTCAATAAGAATTCCCTCTCTCTCTTTCTCTGCAATATTGTTCTTCTGCTTTTGTTGTTTTATAACATATATTTAGAATTTGAAATTGTGTTTGGATATGCATTTCACTTGAAAAAATGTTATAGTTTTGTGAGGGGAGAAAAAAAATTCTGAAAGTTTTGAAAAAGTGATCAAAACCACTTTTTGATTTTTGAAAAACTCATTTTCGATTTTTTTTGAAAAACTTACAAAATTTCATGGAAAAACATATTTTTTTTGAAAAAATCAAAAAAATAATTTTTTTTGTAATGGACCCTTATAGAGTGCATTAGCTCAATAAATTTAATTTCTTTTACTCAAATATAATCTTTATGTCACTTTTAAAAAGTTTATACGCATTAATAGGAAAATACGTGACTTTGCCCTTCAACCTTTTGTCAAGCTATTTTTTCTATAATTTTTTCGTGCTTGCATTTTGATGCGGCACACACGTCTAACATATGCATATTAAAAATAATCAAGTAAAAATCAAACTCATAATACTTACTTGATCAAACTGTGACTTCTTGACTACTAATACTAAAAAGTGACAAACTAAGTAATTAAATGGAGTATTACATTATTCGCACCTTTTTTTTTGGTTACCAAAGCCTCCGAGGTACTATGGCTCATTCACATGGTACAAGTAGGAGCAGCATAGCATTTCCAGATCACTTGCCAGCGTGGCGCCGGGGCAGTTGATCCTAGGGTTTTATCAGGGTTTGATACAAGTTCCCATTTTCGATCAACAAACCGCTCTGTAATGGCCACCTCTATCATTCTCATAATTCACAACTCCCCCCAAAATTGACATCAAACATGGAGAACAAAACCGCCCCTTTATCAACTATCGAAGAACCAGAACTCAAAAAGCAAAAAATGTCCACCACCACCTCCGACGACGAAGAAGCTGCAACCGCCGCCGTCGCTGGAGATGGTCCAGCACCTGAGAGGAAACCGAGATACAAGCGTCGAAAAATCGCAATATTCTTCGCGTACTGCGGCGTAGGCTATCAGGGTATGCAGAAGAATCCTGGAGCTAAAACAATCGAAGGCGATTTAGAAGAAGCATTATATCAAGCAGGTGGTGTGCCTGACCATGACAAGTGTCAACCTCGAAGGTATGATTGGGCTCGTTCTGCTCGTACTGATAAGGGTGTAAGCGCCGTGGGTCAGGTCGTTTCGGGTCGGTTTTACGTCGACCCGCCTGGTTTTATTGATCGGCTTAACTCGATCCTCTCTCCTCAAATCCGGATCTTTGGGTTTAAACGGGTAACAAATGCGTTTAATGCTAAGAAGTTCTGTGACCGGCGTAGGTATGTGTATTTTGTTCCTGTTTTTGCTCTTGACCCATCCTCACATCGTGATAGAGAGACTGTATTAGCTAGTGTAGGATCTGGGAAAGAGCTTGTTAAGTGTTTGGAGTGTTCAGAAAGGGGTCGTAAAGTATTTGGGGTAATGGGTAAACGCGTTTTTGATCCGATAACTAAGTCAGTAATTGTTGTTGCTGAACCAGGCAATATGCCAAACAATGGAGATGCACAAGTAACTTTGCAAAATATAGAGAGTAATGTGAATGTTAATGCAAATGATGTGATCACTGAGTCAAATATGGTAACTGAAAATGGAGCTTCTTTAAGTGAGAAGGGTGAAGAAACGAAGGAGGAAGTTGAGAAAGGCGATGAAAATGCTAAAGCAATAGAAGAACAAGTAGAAGAGAGTGTGTTTTCCTATGGAGAGAAAGAAAAAGAAAGATTTAACAGAATTTTGAAGTACTACGAGGGAACTCACAATTTTCACAATTTCACAACGAGAACAAAAGCTGATGATCCTGCTGCCAAGCGATATATCATTTCATTTACTGCAAACTCTATAGTGAACGTCGAAGGCATTGAATTTGTGAAGTGCGAGGTTGTGGGTCAGAGCTTTATGCTTCATCAAATCCGTAAAATGATTGGTCTTGCTGTTGCGATCATGAGAAACTGTGCTCCTGAATCCTTAATTCAAACTGCCTTCCGAAGGTACATGTTACTCTTAGTTAGTTATTCTCTTTTAAGTTGTGAATAGGTAAGCATGTTTTAATCTGGTACCATTTTGGATCAAATCAGGGATGTCAACATCAATGTTCCTATGGCGCCTGAGGTTGGATTGTATTTGGATGAATGCTTTTTCACCTCATATAACAGTAAGTGGAAGGACACTCATGAAGAAGTGTCTCTGAAAGCTTATACAGAGGCGGCAGAAGAATTTAAAATGAAGTATATCTATAGTCATATTGCATCGACGGAACACAAGGATGGAACAATGGCTCTATGGCTGCATTCCCTTAACTATCGTAATTACCCTGATTTGCGTGGTGTGGATAATGGTAATTCTGCTGGTGCTAGTGATGGTTCAAAAGCCGTTGAAGCTGTTGTTGAGGCTGGTGTAGGTGCTGTCAAGAATGGTGAGAGCACCGATAATGTTAATTCTGCTGGTGCTGTTGATGATTCAAAAACTGGTGAAGCTGTTGTTGAGGCTGGTTTAGGTGCTGTCAACGATGGTGAGAGCACCGATAATGTTAATATTGCTGCTGCTGGTGATGGTTCAGAAGTTGAAACTGTTGTTGAGGTTGGTTTAAGTGCTGTCGACAATGGCGAGAGCGCCGATGCCAAAGATGCTGAGGCAGGGCGTGATGCTGATTTAGTCACCTCATAGGCTATGCTCTGTCGAACAACTCTCGGCATCTATTGGCATGAATATCATGTAAACTTTTCCCTCTGTATTTCTATCATTTATGGTGTTCTATTCTTTGAAGGGAACTCTATATAGAGCAAAGACAGAGAAAGCTCTTGATCCTATTTATAGGACGTGTCAAATTTAGTCTTGAAACTTTGTTGAAGTGCTTCAAATGATGTTGAAGTGAAGCAGATGGTTTAACTGTTGTTGAAGTGAACAAACTGTAATTTGATAAATTACATGTTTTATTTAATTCTTACCAGTCTAATAGTTTATAGTTAGTTCTTCTCGTAGTGAAGGCTTTGACCTACTCTCTATGCTGTATCAGCTAAGTATTTAAAGCTAAATTTTTACTGGTTATGGAAATATATTGAAGCCGCAAAGGTGGTGATTCCTGACAAGCCAATTTGCTCAGGCATCACTAGTAACAACAACCGCCCAGTATAACCCCACAAGTGGGGTTTGAGGAGGGTAGTGTGTACGCAGACCTTACCCCTATCCTAGGGGGTAGAGAGGCTGTTTCTGATAAGGCATCAGTAGTGATAAGAGTAAAGATTCTTTGGCTGCCAACTCGAAGTGACTCTGAATGCACACTCTAGTATGTCGCACAACAAAAGTTAAGATTTGTGGTTGATGACATTCAGTTGATTTGGTCTTGGCAAAATGCAGCTCTTAAATTCTTTCCACAGTTAATATCATAGTATGCGAGTTTCTACTTTCAAGTTAACAGTTCACCCCTGTTTGTAGGGATGTAAATGGGGTGGGGCAGAGCAAACTCTAACCCGCTAAGATTTTGACCCGCCCTGCCCTGTTTAGTATTGTTTAAAAAATTTCCCGCCCCGCCCCATTTAGTTTTCTTTCATTATTTCCCTTTATTTTTCATTTTGCAGTATGTTACTTAATTGTTTTTTACTTTTTCAACTTTTATTGAAACATTTAAAATTGACATAAGAGTTTACTATGTATATTGGTTGAATAAAACATGATTTTTATTTAAGTAATATAGATTTAAAATCCAATGTACTAACTCCACTTGTTAATACGCGACCACTTTTCTTGTTCTTGTAATAGTTGGACGGGAATAAAAGATATTATCGTGTGTATGTTTTAAAATTTAGTTAATATGTTTCATTTAAAAATCAATGGTTTAGATTTAATTAGTTAAATTAAAGCTCTAACCATGGTTAGATAATAAATATCCCATATATTTGCTCCTATAATTCTGGCAATCCCACAATTTTAGTTGCAAATCTCACCTATAATAACATATATTAAATATTTATCTATTTTCTCGACTTTCTCATATTCCAAATATTCTTCCCTATTCCCTTGTATTAATTGTCTATAAAATTCATCGGTTAAAAAATATTGAAAGAATTACAAGAAAATACACATGACTTCACATCATAACAAAAAATGGCCCATATTTTTAAGTTTTACCCAACATATATCCCATATTGTACATATTTTGAAAGCACTAGCAAATTCAAAATCTGTGTTCTTACAACCATTGCTTCTAAAAGCTATGGAGTTAAATATGTATTCTCACAACCATTGCTTTCACTCTCACATCTTCTATATATGCTTCAAGGAGCCGTGTAATTTTCTACTTGTCCCCCCGTCTCACCTGGTTGCAATATAAGAAAATTAAAAAGTAGAAGTCCACCATTGAAGGCCATTCAAAGCTTTGCTTTCGAAAATATAATTTTTTGAGTTTGTTAGTTGTTTGGATTGGGTGTTGTTTTAATTGATTGCAAATATCAAAAGGAGTTTAAGATTTAAATTTGAAGTGATATGGAGTAGATTTGAGCAAGATTTGAGTTAAATTTCAGAAATGACGCAAGGAAGAAGACGAAGTTAGTTTTTGTATAATTTTGTATAATCTTGTATAGTAATAGTGTATATGAGTGTATAAACACATCTTATACACTATTATACACATTTATACAAATGTCTGTAGACGAACTTCTTCCATAATTTTCAGTTGCAATTCTTGTTCAAAAGCAATCCAAAGCTCAATTAAATGACTTCAAATTTTATATACAACCTCCTTATACTATTTCTAACAAGTTTAAATGATACCCACTCCAAAATTTTCACGAAATCAAATTTGGAATCTAAACCCACATATTTAAGCTTGTTAAAAATCTAATTTTCACTACCCAAGTGGATTTGGTTTGTTGAACTAATATTTGAGTCACAGTTACTGATTCGAAAGTTAACTTAAAAGCTTGAGCAATCTTTTTAAGAAATTAAATAGTAATTTCGAGAACCTATTGGAGTTGAATGTTGAGTATTAGCCTATTATTTTTGGGCTAGTTTGTTGTAAATTAAAATATGGGCTATAAATTGAAAAGTAGGGAGCCCAGTTATTATTATGTGAAATTTTTCCAAAATTATTTAACAGATGCAATATTGAACATATGTGGGGACCTTAAGTTTTCAACGTAGAACACAATATAAACTCAAACAGAAAAGAGTAAATCTTAAAACAAATATGTAACGTGAAAATAAAATATAGTAAAACCTTAGAAGACAGAGTGGTGAATTTGGTCAGTATGAAATATGGCAGTATGGCGTGGTGTGATGGCCATAATTTTATTAAAGTAAGTAATATAGGCACAAATAAATAAGAAATAGTAACGATTCAGGGAGAAATTTTTTTTTCGTCCCTTCTCCGTAAGGGTTTTCTCTCTCTCTACAACTGAGAGCTCTTTCCCCTCTGTGGGGTTTTATTCCTTGCCCTAACTTACCAAATCTACAAAAAACACTTCAATTTCAACTCCTAATCATACTCTCAAACAGATTTCAACAAATAAACCAATCAAAATCGCTACTTTCATCCTCTCTGTTCCCCAATTTTGGCACACTCCGTTCTCTCATTAAATTTCCTCTCTCTTTCTCTCACTAGATTTCTGAGGCGCCGACCGGTCCCCTTCTCATTTTCGGTCCGGTACTTATCTCCATCAGCTCTCCTTTTAAGCAAGCTCATGTGCTTAAAGTTTGCGACTGTCGCCATTGATTTTGGCATCTGGGTTTTGTTTGTCTAGTTTGTTTTGAGTTAATTCTAAGTCGTGGGGATTTGCTAATTGGGCTTGGTTTGATTTGAACTGGTAGGTGGTTACAAAAAAGAAAGAACAACAGAGAGCAAAGATTGACTGGTAGATACAGCAAAAAGGGAAGCAAAATCACAAAGTTTATAACATCATCAGCATTAGGAATTTTACAGTGCAAAGATGGCGGAAGAAATTACACAACGCCTTCATAAATTTATTTTAACGGAGGAAGAAAAGGAGGCTGTGGCAACAGAGTTTCCAGATATTCAGGCAAGCATGAAAGAATGTGAAGTAAGTCTTCTTGGTAAGGAAATCTCTGACAAAAAGGTGAATTTTTACGGAATTAGGAATGCTATGACTCTGGCTTGGGGTAATCCTAGAGGATTACAAATTAAAGAAATCTCATGGAATTTTTTCCAGTTCATCTTTAAAGACAAGGCAAGTTTAGATAAAGTTAGACTTGGTACTCCATGGTTATATGATAGATACCTTCTCAACATCCATCCTTGGGAACCGGGATTGGAGAGTGACTCTCCAATTTTTAACGAGAGTAATATGTGGGTTCAAGTTTGGAATATTCCTTTACACTAGATGTCAAAGGATGTTGGTCGGAAAATAGGGTATGCGTTAGGCGGTATCCTAGATATTCTCATTCCTGAAAATGGGAGTAAAGAGGGTCAGTATAGGAGGCTTAAAGTCAAGATTAATATTAATAAGCCACTGCTTAGAGGGAAATGGATCAAGCTAGGCTCTGAAACTATATGGGTTGAATTGAGATATGAAAACCTACCTTATGTTTGTTACTATTGTGGTGTGCTAAGACATAATGATAAAACCTGTATACAGAGGGAACAAGATGTACGATCAGGAAATCTTAGAAGCGACCCGTTCGGGACATGGCTACGAGCAGAGAACAATGCATCTTTCTCGGAAAGTCAAAAGCGTCAAGATTTTAATAATGATAGAGTGGAGAATACAATGATGAGATATCGTAACTATAAATTAGTTAAAGAGAAAAGAGCTGCAGGAACCAGGGAAGATTTGCAACATCTGGAAGGCGATGGAGACTCGATGGATATGCAGGATGGTATAGAGAAAGAGAATGTCCAGGTGGAGGGAAATGGATTACAGGGGAAGGAAGTTATGGATTTGCAAGCAAAAGACAATGATAATTTGAATGACAAAGAGGAAGTGCACCGGGTACACTCTCTGGAGGAAGAAACAATCCAAATCTATAATAACAGTCTGCCACTTGCTGATTCACAAAATAAAGATACTGGCCAACTCCATACGAATACTTTGCAAAAAACTAAACTTCCAGTCTATTCATATTCGCAATCACTTTTTAAAAGACAAGGAGATATTGCAGGAAACGGTCATGAAGCTGCGATTATACCAGGTAAAGGGTTAGTTGCAAACGTTTGTATACATGAGTTTGGGCACGAAGGCAAAGAGCAGGATGGTATTGAGATGACGATGTTACAGAACCAAGACAAAGCTACTGATGATGCACCTAATGGAGTAAAGGTGAGTGATGTTGTTTCTGGGAATGAAACAGTCAATTTAGAAGAGCCTAATATGCTAATTGATATTCCGATTAGGGAAGAGTTTGGGTTAATAGGGGTAAAACAAAAATATAAGGAGATAGTTACACCAATGACTATTGCAAAACGTCAAAAGAAAGAGGTGGTGCGGGAGCCCAGCCTGGAATGGTCTCCCTTGATGAAATGAAGTTGCTGGCGTGGAATTGTCGAGGGTTGGGGGGATCCTTGACAGTTCCCTGTTTGAAGGAGAAAATGTATCTCGACTCCCCGGATTGTATCCTTCTATGTGAGACGAAGAACCAACAATCATGACTTCAGTGGCTACGACAAAAAGTTAGGATGCAAAATTTCTACATTGTGGACCCTGTTGGACTCTCTGGTGGACTCGCCTTACTCTGGCATGAAGACACTCAGATAAGTAACATTTACTCTTCTAACTATTTTATTGAGTTCTCCATTTATTATAATGAAAAGAATATTAATTTTTGTTGTATTTTTGTATATGCTAGCACAGATAGAGAAATTAGAAATAAACAATGGGCTGAACTTATTACTAGATCAGTATCTTGGGGAAACCATTAGATGCTGCTAGGGGATTTTAATGATATTATTGATAATTCTGAAAAATCTGGGGGAACTACGCGGGCTCCTTGGACTTTTAAGGATTTTAATAACTT